AATATGAAAAGAGGATGGACGGAACATCTGCACCAGACAAGGGTAATCTAGGAAATGATGTGAGTTCCAGAATCACAAAAGGACAATAACCACAAAGTGGGAAAATGGCTTAGGCCAGTGGTTCTCAACCTGGGCTGCACATTAGCATCACCTGGGAATCTTTTTAAAATCCTGATTTCTGGGCCTCATCCTCCGGAAATTCTGTTTCTTTGTTACTGATGTTGTGGTGTTATCACCCCATAACAAAGAAACAGAATTTCCGTAGGATGAGGCCCAGAAATCAGGATTTTAAAAAGATTCCCAGGTGATTCTAATGTGCAGCCCAGGTTGCGAACCACTGGCTTAGAGGATGGGACTATAAGACAAACTTAAAAAGGGTAATAAGCAAATGGCGAGTTTATGATGGTCATCCACAGAGTAGGATTCCACAGAGTATGGAAAATGACACTATAATAAAGTTAGGTAAATGACAATATTGCACAGTTTACTCAATTTACTAGCAGGTTACAAACAGTACATTCGGTGAGATCCAATTCCATACATAACGCTGGGCAGATACAGAACACCAGTGCTTCTCAAACTTGAAAATGCACGTGAATCTGCATATTAACCGAATTCACTTAAAGTCCAGGTCCTGGTGCAGCAGGGCTGGAGTGAGGAGGTGGAAATTCTGCATTTCCAACAGCCCCTGGGAGCTGCTGCGGGTCCTGCGGACCACACTCAGCAGCAAGGATGCAGACCAGTGATGGTTCACGGATGATGACACTGTTTAGTTTAGCTTTCTTCTTCCCTGAATTTATATTTATTTTCTAGTTAACTTGGGACAAATATTAAAATCAATGGACATGTGTTGTTTCATGTTATGAAAAAATGTATTTTAAAAAGAGAAAAACGGTGAGCTAAACCAGGATGCCATGGGAAATAGAATAAGACTGTGAGGAGGAGCCAATATGAAATTCGAGCACAGGAGGGAGTGTGCACACCGAGGAAGAGGTGGGGCAGCAAGGGGAGGGTGAGGGGGGCATCCTGACAACAAGCCTGTAAGAGGATCCGGGGCCAGGGGGCACGTGGCACGAGGATTGCTGGAATCTGGGGTATAAATAGAGACGTTCCACATGGGAACACAATCAAAAGGAGGGCAGTGATGAGACAGGTGCAGACCTGAGCTGCCCAAGTGTAGGTGGCCCTGCCAGGTGCACACAGGAGTCCCGCTGGGCCCTCACCACCTCAGGAACTAAAGGACTTGAAAGAAGGGCTGGAGCTGCCCTCGCAGTTTGAAGGACATTCTCTATGAGGAACAAGGTGTGCAATCCGGACACAACTAGAGAGCTAATGGGAAAATTTGGACAGACAGGTCATAGGTTATGCCGAAACCCAGAACACAGTAGAGTTGGACGACTCCCAGGAATGTAGGAGTGAGGGAGTCTCAAGGCCATGGCTTGGCTGGACAAAGCTGGGTGCCCATCTCACTGAGCTTGGGCAGAATGTGTGCCCCGAGAATGCATGGAGAACAAGCACTTGTTGTCTACAAAGAATCCAGCCCAACCACAGCCCCCAGAAGGCACTCACCGCCTCTGAATGACAGCAGAAGTGTCAGCGGAGAGTGATCAGAGCCCTGTTGTTTGGCACAGAACACTGAGTGACAAGCCAGACTTCACAAGGCGCCACTGATGGGGATGAAGTTCAGGTGTTCCTGATTCCTTAACCAACGCCCAGGGCTGGTCTCTGACCTCAAGGAACGGAGCAGGTGGCAGATACTATTTGTTTATCAGCCCCTCTTCGTTGCTTGGCAACACTAAAGCTAATTCAGATATCAAAATCATAAAGTGGTGTTTACACGCCATCACTGAGTTAACACAGGTGTCACCAACAAAAGGTGGCCAGGAGCTAGGCTCCATCCAGATAGCAGTGTGCCCCCTGCTGGACATGAGAGCAACTGGGATAAACAGAAAAAAGTCCCAGATCAGAGAGAAATCATGGCTACTTCCAAGACCCCACACACAAAACGAGGAGACACAGAAACTTACAGAACAGCCCACGGATATAGGGTTTATCATCTCCAGGCACCCATAGTATTTAATAATCCCTGGGGAGTGGTGGGGGGGGCACTAGCTGCCACTTAGGACACCCCTTTCCCTCCACCACTAGAGCGCTTTCCCCATGTCCATTTCCCTCTCGGGGTCACTCTTCCCTTCACTGAGAGGTAGGAAGCATTCTCTGGTAAAAACGATTTGGAAAGCTGTTTGACCAAAGCGGGTCCGAGTCACTGGCTCATTCTATGAGAGCCTGTCAGGGCCGAGAGGCCCCAGGGGGACGGGGCAGGTGGCCGCTCTCCCCTCCTGCTCCCTGGCTCCCCCCAGAGCTGCTGCAACTCCACACTCCTAGCCCTCTTGCTCATTCACTCTTTGCCATCTGATGGGACTATATTCCAATACGTTACTTGCAAATGTGATGCAACTCTGTTGTGATCTCCCTTGCTTAAATTATTCTTTATGTTATCTACGCCTCTCTGTTTTTAATACTTCTAATGTCTTAGGACAAGGTCTGCAGGCTTGTGGTGTAGTCACTACTGCGAGACCCACAACCATCTCTTCTAAAGACTATGCCCTTTAGTGCTAGTATTGCAGCGTGCGGTGAAACAAGTCTCAGATATCTTACATGCTTTACCTAACGGCTCAGCCTCCGTTTTCCACACTGAAAAGTCCTAGGTTTTCTCTGGTGTATTCTTGGGTGCAAACCACCCTTCTCTCTGATCAGTTTAAGGACGCTCTAAGTTCTAGCAAAGTACTGAATCTGACGAGGGGGGCCGGGGAACCCCTGATTTACAGCGTGTTGGTCATGAGTCCCGGAGGCCTGGATGCGGGATTGGTGTCTGAGTGGGGGCAGTCTTGTGGGACTGAGCCCTTCACCTGCGAGGTCTGAGTGGTGTCAGAACTGCTCGATGTGAGGAAAACCCACGAATCTGATGTTAGAAGTGTCGTGAGTAAAAATCCGTTCATAGTAACACGGAACACCATTTGGTGTGTGATGACTCGGTCCATCGTAATGAATGTCGGCACTTAAAGTTGTTTCCTGATGCCCTTAGGAACTGCTAGAGACCACAGGGTCATTTACTCCACCACACAGTGGCCGCAGGTTGCTACTTTTTAAAAGAAGATAATCATTAATTCTGTGGGTTCCTCCCTCTCTGTTCAGTATGGCTCTAAATATAGTTGCTTTGGAAGTACTTCTCGTCTTCCTCTTAGGCTGCCTACTGTAACCTCTGCTAGTTTGCAGTTGGGATACATCAGATGACCATAGTCACCAGTAATCCTAGATGGATATTTAACCCCAAATCTCTGGAGTCTGGCCTTCAAGTGGCTCCACGCTGAGTACACCAAGAGAGTGTGTACTCAGGACTGAATTTGCTTTATTTTACTTAATGTATTATTCATGTACAGAAAAGGTACATAATGAAACTTACTAAAAGAAAGTTTACGAGCAAAGAAAATATCATTGAGGTACAATGGGGAACAGATATGAGACTGTTACACATGTTAGATAAAACCGTGTCTACTTTTGGTCTAAGTAAACTTAGAATATGGACTGTTGGCATGTTTACCTATAGAATAAAGGACAAAGCGACCCTAAAATGAAGCACTGAGTGTTGTTATTCCTATTCCATCCTACACCCCAGAGTATCTTTCAAAATTTTGAGGGTGATTCAATTTGTCAGGTTTCCATATAAGAAAATGTCAGTGAAAGTGATTCTAAATTCATCACAACTGCTTTTTTTGTTTTCAAAGAACTAAATTAGGTGTGACACGCGCCACGCATGCACACAGCTAGCTACCACCGTCCTACCCCCTGTGCTTCGGGGAGCGCGAACATCAACAAGCAGATGCCCTGAGCTCGTCTCTAGCCCAAGCCCCGGCCATGCCTGTCCTGGAGTTTCTACCCCGCTGTGTTCTTCCTTCCTTCCAGTCTGTCCTCCTCACTGCAGCCCGGCTTGATTTTCTTGTCCAAACTGCCTTCCTGCTCTAAGACCTGCTAGTTCCACAACAGAAATGGATCAGTCTATACCAGCCGTGGGCAAACTACGGCCCTCGGGCTGGATCCGGCCCGTCTGAAATGAATAAAACTAAAAAAAAAAGACCGTACCCTTTTATGTAATGATGTTTACTTTGAATTTATATTAGTTCACACAAACACTCCATCCATGCTTTTGTTCCGGCCCTCCGGTCCAGTTTAAGAACCCATTGTGGCCCTCGAGTCAAAAAGTTTGCCCACCCCTGGTACTCTCAGGCTGGCCATCCAAACCCCCAACAGCTTGGTCCCCTGTACTCTGCCAACCTCGTCCTCCACTCGCCACCTTCCTCTTTCTCTATCCCAGTGGTTCTCAACCTTGGCTGCACATTAGAAACACCTGGGAATCTTTTTAAAATCCTGATTTCTGGGCCTCATCCTCTGGAAATTCTGTTTCTTTGTTACTAATGTTGTGGTCCCATCCCATAACAAAGAAAACTGAATTTCCGTAGGATGAGGCCCAGAAATCAGGATTTTAAAAAGATTCCCAGGTGATTCAAATGTGCAGCCAAGGTTGAGAACCACTGCTCTATCCTCAGCCACATCCACTTACACGCTGCCCAGCGAATACCATGGCCCAGGCTGCCCTAAGACCTTTAAGTTGTTCCTTCCTCCTTCTTCCTCCATACCTACCAAAGTCTCCCAACACCTCCAAACCACCCCCTCCCAGACGCAGAGATGCTATTCTCCTTGGGTGTGGCTCCTCCCTGCCTGCCTCACGTTTCACACTTAATTCACTGTAGTCACACTCCCAGCCAGGCTACTGAGGGAGGTGTTTATCTCCCCACCAGCCCTCAGTCCCTGCAGAGCACGTTGCTTTCCACACACCTCCCAGCACAGGGGCTGAGAGAACAGCAGATCTGGACTGAGGAGCGGGGAGGGGACAGACACCCTGCTCGCTGACAACCCCGCCAGGCCCGCCCACGCATACTCACGGTTTCCACAGTTGAGACCACCAAGGCCAAATGGGCAACTGCAAGTCAACAAAGGAAAAAACAAGAATGAGTCTCAAATCTCAAAAGAAATCATTGCGGCAATTTACTAAGTAATTTCTAAGTAAGGTTTGCAACAAACGCATCAGAATAAGTGAACCTGGAGCCTACCTCATGCAGGTTTCGTTTTCAAGCCTGTATCCGTCTTCACACGCTGAAAGAGAAAAGGACAGTCCGTGAAGGTGGCCACCTCCCTTGGCCCAGACTGGCAGTTCATTAAACACCAGCCAACCTAAAGTCCACAAGAATATTCTAGAAACAGAAGGCCACCAATGGCTTTAGGATTATCTGTTATCTGGGCTAAATAATGTTGTCAGCTCAACTCATAATTTTACCAAGAAAAAAAAATTAACCTCTTTGTGATTCTCAGTTTCCCATCTAAAAGAATAAATAATAATAATAATAATATCTACCTTATAATTTCTTGGAGGGGATTAAGTAAAATAAGGTTTAGCACAGTGCTTGACACACAGCAACCACTAAATAAATGTTTTACATTATTTTGCAACAAATGCCATGCTCTCTGGAAGTTTTCTGTGGACCCCGGGCAGCATCACATACACAGACAAGTGCTTCACCCAAACCCTCATCTGCTGGGTGGGAGCTTCCAGGCCATGACTGTCATCTGGGCACATGTAACGCCCATCTGTTACCCGGCCTGCATGCGGGCTGCTGGGCTGGGCTGTTTTCACGTAGCTTCGGAAGTATCCTGACTCCAGATATGCTGATGTTTCTTTATTTCGAATGGGCTCATTTGGTCATTCATTAAAGGCTGAGGCGACCGTGGGCACGGTGCTGTTCTAGGCACTGCAGCGCGCCTCATGGCCACCCCCGAGGGGCTCTGACCCGCGGAGCACTGAGGATGAAATGAACGTGGGACTAACTAGCATATATGTCCAATTGGGCTTCCCCCCTTGATATGGAACACAATAAAATTCAAGCCTCTGTCCTTTTAAGAAAAATAAGTGGTGGAGTCCTAAACACTCTTTTGTTCTCTTGCAAGAAACTAACTCAAGTCCTGCCAGTCTTGTCCTGTCATTTGCTGCCCTATGATCCACTGTTCATTCGGCGGACATTGCTAAACCCCGCAACATGCTGAGCGTGTCCTGGACCCAGGCACCGCCCTCTGCTGAGAGAAAGAGACCCGCGAACAGGGAGCTGGAATTCAAAGGGACTTGCCGTCTGGTGAGAGAAAGAGACCCGCGAACAGGGAGCTGGAATTCATCACGATGCCTGTGTGATGGAAGGAGGCTGCGATACCTGTGGGAAGGTCACCTAGTTTAATCTTACAGACGGTTAGAAAGTCGGGTAAAGGCACTGTAAAGGCATGTGAGACACTAAGTGTGTGTGTGTGCGTGTGTGCATGTGTGTGTGTGCACGTGGTAAAGGCACTGTAAAGGCATGTGAGACACTGTGTGTGTGTGCGTGTGTGCATGTGTGTGTGTGCACGACAGAGAACAACGCAGCTATGCTAGTGTACAAATATGAATTGCAGAGATTTAGAAAACACACCCACACCTCTATCTCCCATTTATACAGGGGTCTGACCCCTGATCTGCAGTGTCCAAAGGGGATTCACTCTAAATACCTCTGTGCTCCAGCACCAGTGGCCAGAAGATGTCACTGCTGACCCATCAGAACCCAGCAGACAGGGCTGTGACCAAGGAGATCCCTCATGTACTCATCAGAGGCCTGACGGCTACAGACGAAAGTCTAACTGCAGAAACGAGGCTGCAGAGGCCCTCGGCAGCAAGCCCACAAGCTAACCACGGGCTCTTTATGCTGCTTCTTGGGTCATCCCTGGATAAACACAGATCGCCGGGGCCTGTGTCGTTGCATTTGAAAACCTCTGACAGCTATGCCATCACTAATGCTCGTCTGCAGGCGACACAAATAGGAAACTGCTGACTTGGAAGCAGAGGGGAAGTGGCCCGGGCCAGCCAGGGGCAGAAGTGGCCACCAGACGCTCCAGAGGCGCGGCGTCCGGGGCCGGCACTCTAGATGCCTGCACCTCTGCCCACTTCCCTCTCCCTCCCGACAGCCACGCTGCCCCAGCGGATGGATTTGAGCAGAGGTCACCTTCCCACAAGGCTCAGTGTCTAAGAAGGGCGAGGAACACTCGGCATTAACCCAGATAAGACGGAATTAGGAAGTGACATCTCTTTGTATGAGGGCGGCAGCCTGCCGTGCTGAGGAACACCGGGAAGCTGCCCATCATGGAGCACTGGCCCTCTTCTCAGCGCCCACCGCAGGGCCTGCGTGCAGAGCGGAGGACATCCATGAACCTAAGCCACGGGTCTGATGCTCAGGACGAGCGCGCTGCCCTCAAATGTATTTTTATCCTCTCCTGACAGAATGAGTCCTCCAGCGGCAGTCCTGACAGCTGCAAGTGGCACGCCACTTTTCGCAAATATGCGATTTGACTCTGATTCCAGGACACCGATCACCAGCCAGTGTTGGCTGCTGCAGTCCTTCAGAGTCAGGGTACTCCGCACTCTGGGCCTGGGCTCCACCCTACACTCACTGAGCAGCCTCTGATCTCAAACTACACAAACTTAAGCCTCACCTAAAAGGTTTGCGGAATTAGCTTTCTGTCCTTAAATACTTTATGAAACCTTTAAAAACTAAGGCTCATTGTTCAACAACAACCACCTGGGTAAAATACAAGAGCAATGTGGATGGCTTCCACAGTACCACCGTATGGATATATTGCCCTCTTTAATTCTTAGACGATCAATGAAGTGTCACTACACCCATGTCACAGAAGAGGAAACTGAGGTCCAGCGAGGTGGAGTGACTTGCCCAAGGTGATACGTGACCAGGGAGGCCAAGGTGGGCTCTGACCCACTTGGGCCACAGCTGCTGCTAAAAGGTACGGCCTGACTCCACGCTTGTATCACCATTTTAAAAGATTAGCGGACAATAGAATAAAGCTTTGGGAATTAAAACAATAATTTTTCTAACTTCCTTAAAGTGGAAAGAAAAAAGAAAAGGCGTTGCCGGCCACAGGCATTCCATTCTCTTTACTTTCCCTTTGAATCCAGGGGCCAGGCCAGCGCAGGGTCAGAGGTAACGCTGCTATTCCAAGGAGGTAATGTATTCCACCCTGCTGCGCGTGAAACAACAAGGGCTGGTTACCCCCAGCTTAGAGCAGGCCACCGAGCAGGAGGAGCCCCGGTAGAGAAAAGCAAGGTGCACAGAGCCCGAGAAGAGAAGCGGCAGGCACCTCGGCAGGAGTGGTCCATCTTGTTGAACTGGAAGTAGCCCGACTTGCACTGGCACAGCGCCACCCCGTCCAGGTCCGTGCAGACGGAGGTCTCCTTGTCACATTCCGGGGTCTTCCGCTTGCACAAGCTGCCCGCTGGAATGGAAAACAAGACAGTGAAATCACACAAAGCCTCGTCCACCTCAGACCTTAAGACGCAGGAACTTCCTATGTCAAGAGGCTCCGAGGACAGGTTCCCAAAAAGCCTGCCGGTGCACGCTCCTTGCCCAGGTGCATTCTGCCTTCTGCCCCTCCTCCCCCGTGTCGGCCCCAGGCCTCTTTGCTGAGCGTTCACACAGCATGCGGAGATGGAGAAGCCCAGAGGAAACAGAGCTGGCCCGAGCTCCGGGCCACTGCACGGAGGGCCCTCGAAGGTGTGGGATCTTCTCAAGTAAGGACTTCGGGGGGGAGATCACAGACACCCAGGAGCCGAGACCATGCTCCACGGAGAAGGCTGAGGGGCAGACCTGCCTCGAGCTGAAGGTACCTCAGCCTGTGTCTGTGCAGCCTAGGAGGCTCACCTGACAATAGACGGTCCGAGGGGCAGTGGAAGATGACCTGGGCTCTGCGGGCTGTAGTTTTATTGTGTCCCCTGCCTGCTTCCCCACTACATTGACCATGTCTCCCGGTTTATTCATCTCTGGGTCTCCAGCACCTCAGAGACTGGCTCCCACACAGTGCCCGATACACATGCAGGAGGTGCCGTCGGACCTCCAGTCACCGCGTCACCATGAGAGGCAGGCAGGCCACGAAGGTGTGCATCTTTCAGGCTTCCTATCTCCTTCGCTTGAAGGCCCTGTTTCTTCCATGTGTACCCACCTGGCTGCGTCCAGCCCTGGTGCGTGGGCCATGTTCATTTCATGGATGACAAAGCACCATTTTCATTATCAAAAAGCTCTCAGGTTGGGCATGTGGCTTCTCTGAGATTGTACACATTGGACCCTCTGGGACTGTACACATTGGACCCTCTCTGGGATTGTACACATTGGGCCCTCTGGGACTGTACACATTGGACCCTCTCTGGGACTGTACACATTGGACCCTCTCTGGGACTGTACACATTGGACCCTCTCTGGGACTGTACACATTGGACCCTCTCTGGGACTGTACACATTGGACCCTCTCTGGGACTGTACACATTGGACCCTCTCTGGGACTGTACACATTGGACCCTCTCTGGGACTGTACACATTGGACCCTCTCTGGGACTGTACACATTGGACCCTCTCTGGGACTGTACACATTGGACCCTCTCTGGGACTGTACACATTGGACCCTCTCTGGGACTGTACACATTGGACCCTCTCTGGGACTGTACACATTGGACCCTCTCTGGGACTGTACACATTGGACCCTCTCTGGGACTGTACACATTGGACCCTCTCTGGGACTGTACACATTGGACCCTCTCTGGGACTGTACACATTGGACCCTCTCTGGGACTGTACACATTGGACCCTCTCTGGGACTGTACACATTGGACCCTCTCTGGGACTGTACACATTGGACCCTCTCTGGGACTGTACACATTGGACCCTCTCTGGGACTGTACACATTGGACCCTCTCTGGGACTGTACACATTGGACCCTCTCTGGGACTGTACACATTGGACCCTCTCTGGGACTGTACACATTGGACCCTCTCTGGGACTGTACACATTGGACCCTCTCTGGGACTGTACACATTGGACCCTCTCTGGGACTGTACACATTGGACCCTCTCTGGGACTGTACACATTGGACCCTCTCTGGGACTGTACACATTGGACCCTCTCTGGGACTGTACACATTGGACCCTCTCTGGGACTGTACACATTGGACCCTCTCTGGGACTGTACACATTGGACCCTCTCTGGGACTGTACACATTGGACCCTCTCTGGGACTGTACACATTGGACCCTCTCTGGGACTGTACACATTGGACCCTCTCTGGGACTGTACACATTGGACCCTCTCTGGGACTGTACACATTGGACCCTCTCTGGGACTGTACACATTGGACCCTCTCTGGGACTGTACACATTGGACCCTCTCTGGGACTGTACACATTGGACCCTCTCTGGGACTGTACACATTGGACCCTCTCTGGGACTGTACACATTGGACCCTCTCTGGGACTGTACACATTGGACCCTCTCTGGGACTGTACACATTGGACCCTCTCTGGGACTGTACACATTGGACCCTCTCTGGGACTGTACACATTGGACCCTCTCTGGGACTGTACACATTGGACCCTCTCTGGGACTGTACACATTGGACCCTCTCTGGGACTGTACACATTGGACCCTCTCTGGGACTGTACACATTGGACCCTCTCTGGGACTGTACACATTGGACCCTCTCTGGGACTGTACACATTGGACCCTCTCTGGGACTGTACACATTGGACCCTCTCTGGGACTGTACACATTGGACCCTCTCTGGGACTGTACACATTGGACCCTCTCTGGGACTGTACACATTGGACCCTCTCTGGGACTGTACACATTGGACCCTCTCTGGGACTGTACACATTGGACCCTCTCTGGGACTGTACACATTGGACCCTCTCTGGGACTGTACACATTGGACCCTCTCTGGGACTGTACACATTGGACCCTCTCTGGGACTGTACACATTGGACCCTCTCTGGGACTGTACACATTGGACCCTCTCTGGGACTGTACACATTGGACCCTCTCTGGGACTGTACACATTGGACCCTCTCTGGGACTGTACACATTGGACCCTCTCTGGGACTGTACACATTGGACCCTCTCTGGGACTGTACACATTGGACCCTCTCTGGGACTGTACACATTGGACCCTCTCTGGGACTGTACACATTGGACCCTCTCTGGGACTGTACACATTGGACCCTCTCTGGGACTGTACACATTGGACCCTCTCTGGGACTGTACACATTGGACCCTCTCTGGGACTGTACACATTGGACCCTCTCTGGGACTGTACACATTGGACCCTCTCTGGGACTGTACACATTGGACCCTCTCTGGGACTGTACACATTGGACCCTCTCTGGGACTGTACACATTGGACCCTCTCTGGGACTGTACACATTGGACCCTCTCTGGGACTGTACACATTGGACCCTCTCTGGGACTGTACACATTGGACCCTCTCTGGGACTGTACACATTGGACCCTCTCTGGGACTGTACACATTGGACCCTCTCTGGGACTGTACACATTGGACCCTCTCTGGGACTGTACACATTGGACCCTCTCTGGGACTGTACACATTGGACCCTCTCTGGGACTGTACACATTGGACCCTCTCTGGGACTGTACACATTGGACCCTCTCTGGGACTGTACACATTGGACCCTCTCTGGGACTGTACACATTGGACCCTCTCTGGGACTGTACACATTGGACCCTCTCTGGGACTGTACACATTGGACCCTCTCTGGGACTGTACACATTGGACCCTCTCTGATTGTACACAGCAGACACAATGAGGGTACATTCTACCACCTAAGATAAGTCCCTCCCAAAAACAACACATGTAATTGGGGTACACAGACAATAGGACAAAACTATGAAACCAACAGGAGAGTAAGCAGTAACCTAGACCCATGTACAGGGCAAAGCAAGCCTGTCATGTGCTCCTGCTGTTGGCAGACAAGAGCAAGTTCGGATGGGGGGAGAGCCACGGAAAGGCAATGTGTACATTGTGCTGTGAGGATGGTCTCCCCTCTCCCACCTTAAGGAAGACACCAACCTATTCAGAAACCAGTTCTCAACACAGCACGGCAAAACTGTCCCTGCCTAGGCCAGTCTGATGACAGGAGCTGATGTCCACACAGTGTGGGGGTGGGGGAGTCGGATGGAGGCCCCAGCATCAGCCTCCTTTTCTGAGTCCTGAGAGCTTGGGGCCTGGTGGATGGCCTGGTCACAGGGAGGTAAGTTTAGGACACAACTTCGGTTCTCAACACCAAGTTTCCTGTCTTTATCAGTGGAGGCTGACGTGCTAAATCAGAACCCTGTTTGTGCGTGTGATAGAATTTCCTTTGTTTATTGTGAAAAGCCTGTATTTAAGGGAGAAAAATAAAAAATGAAAAATCTCACCAAGCCAACACTGCAAAGCTGGCAGCAGAGAGGTCCTAAAACCCCGCAATCCCTCATCTCTACTTTCTGAAGGCGCTGCCAGCCCTCAAGCCTTAATCTGAAGGAATACCTCCAGGGCCAGGCAGCCTGGCCAGCTCCAGCCTTGTCCAGCAGCCAGCCCGAGTGCCTGGCCTAATTAGATATTCTCTGGAAGCCCGTCATGTTTTCCTTTCATCCTGCCCCTTAATCCAGTGTCCTGGGTAACTACTCGCCCGGCATGGAGGCAGATTCCTGGGAACGCAAGGGAAGCTGGCCCTGCCCGTGCAATGGAGGAGTTGCTATCCTCAAAATTCTCAAAGAACAGAATTTTTCTACCATAAATCCATCAAACGGAACCACGCAGAATCCCATTTTCATTGGAAGCCTGGCGATGTGATTGTTCTACATCCCCAGTTCCCATGGTCCTTCCTGGGCATGACATCCGCCGGACAGACAATGAGAACTTATGTAGGTCTAAGGCTGAGACCCTGCCAGGGGGATTTCCAAGGATTCTAAACCTCTGGAGACACGAGAGCTGCAAGGTTCCAAAAGGAGAGGAAGTAGGTATTTTGTGAACTGAAGGGTCAAAGCCCGCCTTTCCCATGGCCGAGTCCAGAGTAGTCGGTGCTGCCCAGATGTTGGAAACACCCAGATGTCAGAGCCTGAGAGCTCCTGCCCGTCATGCCCGCCTCCCTAGCACTCAGAAAGGTGAGCGATAGACCACGCTGGGTGTGCTGACAAAACCTGGAGAAGCCCTGGGATTAAGAACAGAGATGTGAGCCTGCATTGAGCCAAGATGCCTGGCTGTCTCTGTTTTCACAAGCTCTGGAAGGAGAGACGAAGTATGGGGACCAGCATGTGTGGGGATGTGGGATATTTCTGTATCTTATTCTCAATTTTGCAGTGAACCTAACACTGCTCTAAAAAATTAAAGTCCTAAAAAAATAAAAAAGAAGAATGGGACCCCAATAAGGAAACAGGGGCTTTCCCATGATCCGCACACATCCACGCTGGAAGAATGGGAGTCAGAGAGGGGGCAGGACTGCTCTGAATAGGACTTTACGAAGCCAAGGATCTGGCCACTTGATTTGCAAGGCATGCAATGCATTTACTGGGGACAAAACATAACCTCACACCATGCTGACCACCTAGGATGCACTCGGTAAGTGTTGACTGAATTGAAAGGTCCCCTTCCTACTCGCCGAGGAGGCCAAATGGGGGCCTCTGAATCACAAAAACAAACAAAGTAAAACCAAAGAGCTCTCGACTCAGAGTTTAGAGCAGTCAGTCCACGGGGACATGAAGTTTTAAGCTAACTCCCCAGTGATGCTGAATGATAGCAACTGCCACCTACAACTTAGGTCCAGCATCGGGGCCCGGGTGGGAGGCCCACCCAGATGCCACCTCCTAACCGTGCAGGGAATGAGCTTTGATCACTTAGGAGACGGCAGCAGGGACAAGCCCCTTTGTGAGGAAGCCCTTTGATTCCAGCCGTTTTCCCATCCCAGAGGCAACACCTCCCTCTAAGACCCAAATGTGAACTTGTCTCTAATCCCTCATTTCATCTGCTTTCCCCTAGATGCACCGCAGCAGCTTTGGACAAAACAGATAAAGCAAGAACAAGAACGGGGAGATTATCCTGACTGACACTGGGCAGCTGGCGACCGTGGTCTGGTCTTGCGTCTGTGCACCGGTAATCTGCGACCAACACACATGGCAGGTCATACTGCCCAGGCTACTGTTACTTAATGGTATATCACCACGACGGTTTGGGGTATTGACAAGCAGGTACATTCTGTGTGAACGTCTGCCTCCCCAGAGAGAGTAGGAGTTTTTCAAGAGAAAGAAGAGTGGTTTCTGCTTCATTACATCAGCTCCCGTGTAGGAGTAGAAGGGGCAGCAGGCCAAGGACCAGGCGACTTCAAGCCTGTGCATGTGTGCCCTAGCTGGTTTGGCTCAATGGATAGAGCGTTGGCCTTCGGACTGAAGGGTCCCAGGTTCGATTCCAGTCAAGGGCACATGCCTGGGTTGTGGGCTTGATCTCCAGTAGGGGGCATGCAGGAGGCAACCAATCAATGATATGCTCTCATCATTGATGTTTCTATCTCTCCCTCTCCCTTCCTCTCTGAAATCAATAAAAATAATTTTTTTTTAAAAAAAGACTGCATGTGCACGCCTGCATGTACAAAGGTCCACAGACACGAAGGTCCTTCACTTAACACCTGCTTCAAAGATAGCTTGGCTCTGTGACGAGCTTTCTTGAACTTGAGCCCCGATTGCCTTCCATTTCTAGCCCAGGTGTGTGCCTAACTGTATGGGGGAGGGGGTCATCCCAGAGGGCCGTTCTCTCACCTCTAAAGATGCGCCTCTGCGATCCCAAGAGCTGGCAGACCTCAGCAGAGGACCTGCAGGAGTTGGCACACCTCTGCATCCCATCGGCCAGGTCAAACAGCGTCACGTTGGAGGCCAGGGAGAAGGTGGTCTGCAGCGACAGGACCACGGCGCTGGACTCTCTACGGGCAAAGCGTGTAGGTTTTTAATTGCTCTAAAATGACACATGGGCCCCAAAGCTTTTGAAAAATGAGCCGTTATCTCCTTTGTCCGGTGAGGGGATAGGACAGCATGAAGGTCCAGTGACTTTGGCCCTGGTCACCCTGTGGCTTGGTCAAAACAGGGCCCAGGTTTATTGCTGCCACCCATGGACGAGTATCCTCCCCTTTCTATAGACTGGTTCACAAGCAAATGCACTTACCCTGAAGCACGAACTGTGGATCGGGTATAACCAGGTAACATTGAAAAACACATATTCAGCTGAAAGGAAGAACAGGTTTGTCGTTAACTGTGAGCTAGACAAAAGCTGTAGAGCTGGAACTGATTTCCTATTCTCGGTGTTAAACAGGCATTTTCCAGCCATAAAGTTATCAGCAGGGGGTTTTACAGAGGAGCGGTGTCCTCTTTGTGTTCCCCTCTTAAACGCCTTCCTGCTCCTATTCTGTGGCCCCCTGAGTACAAAGGGAGAGAGGCAGATAGTGAATCAGTGGGGCAAGTCTTGGCAGGGGCGGATGTTCTGAACAGCGCCCTTGGATGCAAAACATCTTCAAAGCAGCAGATCTCTTCTAAGACCCAGGGTTTCAAAAAACTCCAAGGCAACTGTTTATTTGGACTTCGCCTAGTGAGTGAGCCTCACGAAAAGGCTAGTTCCTTTCCGCAGCCCCAGGTCTGGCAGGCCCCAAGCAGGCCCCTCCTGATGTACAGCGGGTTGACCCAACTCAAAGACAGGTCCCTCGGCAAACATGGGCAATTACATTACGTGGGTCAAGAACCCTTTTGTTGAGAGCAAATTAAGAGCAACTCTGCCTGTTTGCCTTGTGCCCTCAGAGAGAGCAGGAACCCCTCAGGGCGTAAAGAAAGCACCAGGCCTGCTTCCCTGTTCCCCCCCCC